CGTTGACACTTTTTGGAATGCTTCCTAACGAGGTCAACGTGTCAGGAGATTTGGTCACGTTTGGAAGTTTAAATTTAGAAATGTTTGTGAAATGGGTTTTTTTAACATCTAGTTTTACCTACCCAAATAACACTTGATTCAATAACTATTTTGGAGTTAATTGCACAAAAAGACCTGCCTGACCAACAGCTCTCCTTGTGTGAATAGAACATGCTCCACTTCTCTCACGCATCCTACTCACAGTCTAAGAAACACAGTGTAGCCTAAGTTAAGTTTTAGGGGGGTAAAAATCACTATCCAATCCATCCATCCATTATCTTTACCCGCTTGTTGCATTTTTTTGGGGTCACGGGGGTCGCCGGTGCCCATGTCCAGCAATCACTGTGCGAGGGGCAGGGTACACCCTGGACGGGTCGCAAGTCCATCACAGGGCCACATAGAGACAAACAACCATTCACTCTCTCACTCACACCTAGGGACAATTTAGAGTTACCAATCAGCCTAACATGCATGTTTTTGGACTGTGGGAAGAAACCGGAGCACCCGGAGAAACCCACGCATGCACAGAGAGAACATGCAAACTCCACCCAGAAAGGCCCCCGGACCAGGGTTTGATCCAAGGACCTGCTCGCTGAGAGGCAGCAGCTCTACCAGTTGCGCCACCGTGCTGCCTCACTATCCAATATGAAACAATAATAATAATCACTCCTTATCAATGGCCTAGCATAAAGCAATATGATCATCATCCATCATGTTTATTAGTAGCTTAAAATACCTAATTAAAACTCAAGTAGTGGGCTAGGTCTAGTATAACCTTACCACTCAGCCACAGATAAAGTTAGAGAGACCAGACTGAGATGGTTTGAACATGTCCAGAGGAGGGACAGTAGGTATATTAGTAGAAGGATGAAGGAGAAGGAGAAATGCAGCTACCAGAAAAAAGACCGAGGATATACAAAGTATATGGATGCAGTTAGAGAGGACATGGAGGTAGTTGGAGTGAGGACAGAGTGAGATGGAGGAGGAGGATTCGCTGTGGAAACTCCTGAAAAGAGAAAAGCCGAAAGACGAAGAAATTTAATAGAGTCAGAGTTTCTTTATTGTCATTCGCACCACATGTGGTACATGTGGTGGAACGAGATTGTATACTCAGGGTCCCAGTTACATCCCACAGTAAAATGTAAAAGAAAAACAATAATAAGATATAAGATATGAACTAAAACAAACATCCACTGTGGTTGTGTAATGTAAAATGTACTCTTACAAACTAAATTTCAATGTGAGTTTTTGCCCTGCGCTGGTCTGCAGCATGAAAACATCCGATGCAGTAACTATTTTAAGTTATTAGCAGCTTAGATTTTACCTTAATGTTGGTCGATAAGAAATAAATGCCTCACTAAATGCTTCAGGTAATGCCATGAGTTTCACTATCTCCACATTACAGCTATGTTGTTTTATGTTTGTCTGAGGTTAGTTCACCCGGAGTTACATTACCTCGTGGGCAGCGTGATCTTACTGTTCACGTAAAATATTTATCATGTTCTTATAGAAACAATTCCTGAAAGTTGTTCATACTGTGTTAATGCTACATGTTTATCTCTTGACCCTACAACTGGGTTAGAGCAGTCGTCCTTCAATGCGAGAGTTGGGGTTCGAATCCACCATCAGTCACATGTCGAAGTGTCCCTGGGCAAGACACTGAACCCCTCATAGACTCTGATGTGTGTCCCATCAGTGTATGAATGTGATCTAAAGCACTTAGTCTCTTTAGAATGATTTGTTCAATTAGCTTTGTAGAGATCTAGTACGCATGCTGCTGTATGAATGGGTACATGAGGACACAGATTGTAGTGTAAAGCGCTTTGAGTATCTTGAAATAAGATAGAAAGGCACTAAATAAGTACAGTCCATTTACCATTTACCATTTATCTCCCAGTTGTTCAACCTGTGCTGTACTTCTCATGATCTCATTCTTAATCTAATCCATCCTTGTCACTCCTAAGGAGAATCTCAACATCTTCATTTCTGCCACTTCCAGTTCTTTCTCCTGTCTTTTTGGCCATGTCTCTGTCTCCAGATCATACAACACAGATGGTCTCACCACTGTCTTGTAAACTTTTCCTTTGACCATCCAGATATACACCGAGCACTATTGTTTGCTAACACTTAGCATAATAAAAATGGCTACAAGTCGTGGGATTAACTTACTTACCACCTTTATTTGACGTCATATGACCATAAAATTCTGTGATAAATCCACAACGCCATATATATATATATATATATATATATATATATATATTTTTTTTTTTTTTTTTTTTTTTCATAACTACAGTAACAAGCAAATGTCCAGACTCTGAGCTGTTGGCTGTCAGTACAATATGTTTTTAGTTCTTGTTAACCCCAAGTTAGCAGACTGAGGAAGAGGCAGAGTCAAGTGTACAAAAGGTGTTTTTATGTACAGGTGAAGATATTTACAGGCTTTCAGGTCATCTAGACATTTTCTTCTTTTTCTTTTTTTTGTCCTGAAACATTTCACCTTCCATCCAGAAGGCTTCATAGGTAAAACACAAAACTGATCCCCCCCCCCCCCCCATCTGCTTACTCCAAAGTGGAACAAACCAGTTATGTTGGTGCTAAGATGGTCTCTTTGGCATGGCCCCTCCTCCAGTGCCAGCCCTCTCCCTCATCGACAATCATGACAAACTGGTTCAAAACCAACTAAGTCCATGCTCAATAATCCAGGTATACAATCCAACAATTTTCAGTCAGGTCATCTGGACAGTTTGGCGTAAACTGTTGGGGGAAGAATCAGTTTTGTGTTGTGCGTTTCCTTGACTGATGAAGCCTTCTAGATGGAAGGTGAAACGTTTCAGCACAAAAAAAAAAAAAAATAAATAAACTGTCAAGATGACCAGACTGATAATTGTTGAATTGTATACCTGGATTATTGGGCATGGATTTTGTTGCTTTTTTTTTTTTAACAAATGTTTATGTTGTAGATGGAGCCGAAGAGGAGTAAGAGAGTGAGGTCCAAGGTTTCCATGGAGGTAAAAATGGTCCAGAGAAGGTGAATGGCGTTGGAGAGAAGATCAGGTTGGAGGTGCTCGGTGTTTTTTTAATCCAGATTGATGTTTGGTCATTGTAGGAACAAGACGATACCAGGGCAAAGACTGGAAGAAGACTTGGAAGTCACTGGAGACAATCACAACGGTTAGTCAAACTGTGTGGAAACAGGTTTAACGGCTGTCCATTATCTACCATAAGGTATGATAATGTTCCTGCATCAGAAGAACATCTGGCAGGAGCAGAAATAGTCTGCAGAGTAGTCTTCCAGATCAACAGGTGGGTGATTAATGATGAGTGGCAGCTGTGAATGATGAGTGGCATCTGTGTAGAATGTGACTGTGGCTAGAAACGTATCCCAAACAGTAACTCTGGCCCTGACCTAAAGTTTCCTACAATCCAGCACTGATGCTGTGAAATGAGGACCACATCATAAAAGAAACAATCTGAATCAGAGCCAAGTGAGTTTCAGAGAGTCTGTGATCCATGAAAATGACAGAAATCTAACAACACCAGTGCTCCAAGCAGACCTTTGAATCAGGTCTTCAGCTGGAAGTTTAAGACCGCTGTGTTCCCTGCTCAGACCTGATAAGGTCAACATGCTGCCAGGCAGCTTTTTCTAACTAAAACCTTCAGATGACATGTTGACTCTATGATGCTATGAACCTCTCTGTTCCTCTGCTGTTGTCCATTTATTTATTGTTAAATCATTGATGTGATGGCAATAAAAATAATTATTTTACACCAAATATCTCCATTTACTTAATAAAAATCTTTGTTTTTAGATTTTCCATGTCCTGGATGACTGTAAATCTACACAAAAATAAAATAAATAAAACAGCATTAAAATCTCCTAAAACTGAATCCAGTATTATGTTGAAGACATATCATTCCTTGAAGGACTGCCTGACATCTTTCATGTCAGACCTTTAAGGCATCTTCAGCTGAGGAATGTTGGAGTTGTAGCTGTTTTGGTAAATGCAATTTTGCATGATCTTGTGATAGTTTTTGATCTCAGAAGACGTGTTAATACTCGGTTTGTCTTTAGGATGAGGCTCAGCTACTACAACATCAAACTTATAGCTGTTTTAGTGTTGGCTAAAGATAAGTAGCTGTCGTTTCTGTGTCAATAAATTCTATTCAATGGTTCAGAAAATATTTTGTTAACGGACAAAGCTGAGGTCAACAGAAAATGCAAAAATTTGTATATTGTGTGATAAGACGATGGGTTGTTGATGAGATGTAACTACTACCTCACCCAATGGGCTGTGGTAGCTAAGTGGTCAGTGCCACGGTCTCGTAATCCTGAGTGTCATGTTCGGCTGTCAAGTGCGTTTGAACCCACGTGCAGGAGGATGACAGGAGGCTCGACGAAAAGATCAAAAGTATTTATTTTAACAAAACAAAATCAAAACGCTGACAGGGCAGCTACTCACAGATTAATCGGATGGACGGAACGGAAGGCTGAACACAACACCATAGAAGGACAATCCGGAGACAAAGACAAGACAGAAGAGAGCTGAATATATAAACACGCTGATTAGGACAATGACAGACACCTGAGGTGATTAACGAGACACGGGTGAGACAGGGGCTGAACACAAGGAGGGAAAACACAGAGAGCTGAATCAGGAAACATGAACAGACAGAGATGGGACAAAAACCCAGAAACCCTACAGTACCACCCCCCCCACACACACACACACACACACACACACACTCAAGGGATGGCTCCTGACATCCCAAGGATATGCTACATCCAGCTTGGGTGGGAGGCGGGACAAAAGAGGACAGAGCAGGACGAGTAGACACAGGACAAAAAGAACAAAAAACTGGCAGGAATAAACCCTGGGAAACACCAAACACAAAGACCCCGGACCCCATCCCAGAGTCAAGGTGGGCAGTCAGGAGGCCATCCAGGGCAGGACCAGTACTCAGGAGGGCGACCAGGTGACCGTACTTGATAAGGCAGGAGATCAGGAGGGCGACCTGGCAACCATCCATCCCCAGGTCAGAGTTCTGGTGGGCGGCTAGGAAACCATCCACCTGTGGGCAGCAGTGATGTGCCTCTGAGCCCTCCTGAACTCGGGCAGATGAATACCTCAGCCGACGGACCACGGGCGAAGACCTTGGAGGGCGAGCCAGGGGCGAAGACGTCGAAAGACTGACCATGTGCGCCGCAAGGCAAGGACCCAGAGCTCTCTGCAGACCAAAAATCTTCTGCGGTAGACTCAGGAGCGAGGACCTCCGGAGACGAGCCAGGAACAAGGACCTCCGGAGACGAGCCAGGGGCGAGGACCTCCGGAGATGAGCCAGGAGCGAGGACCTCCGGAGACGAGCCAGGATCTTCTGCGGTAGAGTGGATCGCAGCAGAAGAGCCAGGAGCGAGAACCTCAGCCGAAGAGTCAGGAGTGAGGACCTCAGATGAGCTGGGGGCCTCAGGTGGGCCGGGATCTTCTGCGGTCAAGACGGGAGCAAGGATCTCAGGTGGGCCGGGAACGAAGACCTCAGGCAAGCCGGGATCTTCTGCGGTCAATCCAGGAGCGAAGACCTCAGTTGACGAGCCAGGAACAAGGATCTCGGGCAGACCAGGAACAAAGATCTTGGGCGGAGCAGGAACGAGAACTGAAATAGGAGAGTCAGGAGACTGGACTGCAGCTGTAGATCCAGGAGTCAGGGCTGCAGCTGAAGAGTCAGGAACTGGAACCAAGACTGTAGCAGGAGAGTCGAGAACCAGATTTGCAGCTGGAGAGTTGGAAATATTTGCAGAAGTGGGGATCAGAGCTGCAGGGACAGGGTCCGGAGCTGCAGCTGAAGGAGATGAGGTCAGGGCTGCTGCAGCAGGAGAACCAGAGACCAGAGCTGCAGCAGGTGAGTCAGGGACCAGGACTAAATCTAGAGAACCAGGAACAGGGACCAGAGACGGGACTGCAGCTGGGGAACCAGGGACCAGAGACGGGACTGCAGCTGGAGAGCCAGGGACCAGAGACGGGACTGAAGCTGGAGAGCCAGGGACCAGAGACGGGACTGCAGCCCGTGGAGATGGGGCCAGAGCTGGGACTGCAGCTGGAGGAACGGGGACCAGAGACAGGGCTGTAGCTGGAGAAACGGGGACCAGAGACGAGACTGCAGGCGGTGGAGATGGGGCCAGAGCTGGGGCTGCAGCTGGAGGAACGGGGAGCAGAGCTGCAGGGACAGGGTCCGGAGCTGCAGGAGATGGGGTCAGGGCTGCTGCAGCAGGTGGCAGAGAAGGAGCTGCAGCAGAAGATGGAGGAGTGTCCACTTGGACCTCCTCGAGGCTGGGTGGACCAAGATACATCGCCACCCGAGAAGCCTGCCACCGTTCCAGCTCCTCCAGTGAGGGAGGGCTGGACTGCTCCTCTGGCAAGTGTGGACATGGATACCCCCCCCCCCCCCCCCCGCCCCCCCCCCCCCCCAGACGATCTTGCAGGACAGCTAGGAGGAGAACGACGAGGTGGTGGGCAGCGGGGTGCAGCTGCGTGATGAGCAGATGAGGAGGAGTGAGACGGAGAGGCCGAGGGCCTGGGTTTGATGGCCAGGCGGGTCCCCCAAAACGGATTATTTATTCTCTCTTCCCTTTCTCTGTCGCACTGAGTGGTCTTCTCCGCCTCACGAGCCAAAAACTCAAACAAATTAATCATCCTCCTGCTGGGTTCAGAAAGGTCTCAGGATTCTGTCATGTTTGGCCGTCAGGTGCATTTGAACCCACGTGCAGGAGGATGACAGGAGGCTCGATGAAAAGATCAAAAGTATTTATTTTAACAAAACAAAATCATAACGCTGATAGGGCAGCTACTCACAGATTAATCGGATGGACGGAACGGAAGGCTGAACACAACACCATAGAAGGACAATCCGAAGACAAAGACAAGACAGAAGAGAGCTGAATATATACACACACGGATTAGGACAATGACAGACACCTGAGGTGATTAACGAGACACAGGTGAGACAGGGGCTGAACACAAGGAGGGAAAACACAGAGAGCTGAATCAGGAAACATGAACAGACAGAGACGGGACAAAAACCCAGAAACCCTACACTGAGGTTGTGTGTTTGAGCCCAAGTTGTACTCGAAGGGACATCCGGCGTAAAGCTTTGCCCAATCTTTCATGAGAGTTTGCTTGCTGTGGCAACCCCTGAAGAAGAGAGCAGCTGAAAGCTGATTTATCTGTAAGATAACCATTTTTGTCTCATGAGGTGAAGAGGGGAAATTGGAAGTACACTCCACTATTTCAAATGAAAAAAAAAAAATAATAATAATAAGTTTGGTACCAACTTCCATTTTGGTGTGTGGCTACATCAAGGCTGAAGAAAATCATTGCTGAAAATTGGATTGCAACATCAAAATCCAAGATGGCTGCCACCAAATATGTATTTATGTAATTTTTGTGAGCTTATAATTGGAAAAAAAAAAAAGCAATGTGCCAACTTTTATACTGTGATCCGTCACCTATCACGGGGGTTATGTTCCAGAGACCTCCACGATGGGCAAAATTCCACTAAGTTATATTTATTTTATTATTTATATATTTAAGGCTTTATAAACCTTTATACACTCCTACAAAACATTTCCCACTCTTATTAACCTTTCCCTCTAAGGAATTTAATGGAGGACCCAAAAATTCAACCAGACACAGAGTGCGTTAAATAAGCTTTGCTTTTTAAAGACTGGTAGGAGTAAGCACACATCTATATATATATATATATATATATATATATATATATATATATATATATGTACTACGTATATTCAAATATGATATTCTGAGATGCAGTGAAGCCACAAGAACTGAATCACGATGGAGCAAGGGACGACTGTTTGGCCGCATCTAAGGGTAAAAAAAAGTCTCCATCAAAAACTGGGTTGCCAGTTAGACGGCCACCACCAGCCATCATGTAAACCAGTCACCCTAATCATTTGAGGAAACTATGCTTTGTAGTTTTTGTATTGCTTAAAAGTGTAGTTCCCTCACTCTGTGGGAGTGCTGGCACAGAGGCTAGAGAAGTGAGTCTGTAATCGGAAGATCGCTGGTTCAGCTCCCGGTACCAACAACATCAAAATGTGGATGGGATAGGTGAAGCACCCACAGCTGCCTCCACCCTCATTTGTCCCACTCTGGGCCCTTGAGCAAGGCCCTTAACTCCCACCATCTGATCCCCTGGGCGCCCTAGATAGCAGCTCTCTGCTCTACATAGAGGGCTGTGGTAGCTCAGTGGTCTGTGGTTGTGTCAGGAAGGACATCCAGCGTAAAAACAATTGCCAAGTCTTCATGTGACTTAGTACGCTGTGGCAACCCCTGAAGAGAAGCTGAAAGAAGTAAAAAGTATAGTTCCCTCAAATTACTGGGGTGGACGAAGATTAACCTATGGGGGCCAAGAAAATCACTGGCGGTTGATAAAATTGGATAAAATTGCTTCCTCCACTCTTCAAGGTTCATCAATCTGCGTCACCTTGGACAACAATTAAAATTAAAAAAACTACCTCTGTTTTTCTGCACAATGTATCTCATATCCACTTAAATATTTTGCAACAAAAACATTATGGTTTACTTGCATTCTTTGTTCAATTCCAGTCCAGAAAACCACAGATATTCATTCTGCAGATCCCTGAGACAGGACTTCGGTGTACCGCTTGTTCGTGTTTGCTGATCTGTTTAGCTATGGCAGCCAGTTTGATCAGAGTTGATTCCAGAAGTTAAAGAGATGATGTACATTCAGTGGTTTCATTCTGAGAGCTTCATTAAAATCCATCCAGTGGTTGATGACATATTTTGCCAACTTTAACTCAACACATACATGGACAGACATATGCAAAACATGATGAATTATTCAGACAATACACAGGAGGAAGACTGGAGGAAGGCCCGACGGTGTCAAAATGAGATATCTCCCAGCCCTATCACTTAGAAACTGAAGTTTAATCCACTTCCTTATAATTCTGCTTTCATTCTGAAACAGCAAACATGCAGCAAATAACATCTGAAGGTTATAATTTATTATGGTTGTGTGTCATTGTCTGCGCCAACCTATTTCCAACCTTCAGACGTGACCTAAACAGATGACAAAGCAGCATGAATCACACAGGCATCCAGGTTTGTCCCCGGGCTATTTTCTTGATCTGAACCCCAGATGGCTCCAAAACAAATCACTAGATTTTACTCTTGACTTTATGGATAATGCAGCACACAGCAGAAGGTGAGCCCAAAGCCTTGCCAGAGGGAAGGTAGCCAACACCAGGCCCACACAATTACAAGGAGACAAATGTGTCTGTGCACGTGTCTAATCGAGCAGCGGATTTCATTACCTGGCTGCAGGTGTCATAGCACGAACTGATGCAAGTCTGGATGCTTTCTGGTGATGAGGACTGTGAGAGGCTGTGTAATGTGATGCGACTGAAGCAGACATTAAGGTCAGGCTACGAGGAGGAGCTATTAATGAAAAAAATCCTTTCTAACAGAGGTCATTTCTGAGACAATGGCCAAGAATATGACATACTCTGATGTGGCGTGTTGGCCTCATATTCTCTTTTAATGGATGGTATGACCAAGCACCTCAATTGGAGCTGGTAAATCTTGTCACATGACTTGCAGTTGGAGCATCTGCCACTGGACTCTGTTAATTATTTCATGCTCAAACTGAAGGCATGTTTTTTACAACTGCTGTTGTGTAAGACTCTACTTTTTACATTTAAACAATGCTGATGTCCCCCATCGCTGAGGGAGTTCAATAATGGATGTTTGTAGTTTTGGAGATGAGTGTTTTTCTGGACTGGAACCAAACAGGAAATGCAAATGAATTTAATGTTTTTGGTGAAAGATGTGGAAAAGAACAGAGGGAATTTTTAATTTTTATTTTTTTCAGAATTTTGACTTCCATCCATCATTTATCTTTACCTGCTTTGCTTCTTCCTTTCTGGGTTGTGGGGGTCACTGGTACCCATGTCCAGCAGTCACTGTGCAAGAGGCAGGGGACACCCTAAGGTCTCCAGTCTGTGACAGGGAGACAAATGAGACAAACAACTATTCACTCTCTTAATTACACCTAGAGACAATTTAGAGTTACTAATCAGCCTAAAATGCATGTTTTTGGTAAGGGAGGAAACTGGAGAAAACTAGCATGCACGGAGAGAACATGCAAACTCTACCAAGAACGGCACCCTGGCCGGGATTCAATCTGCCAACCTTCTCACAAGATTCAACGAGTCTGCTGACTTCCTTAGATACAGAACTTTACTAATTGGCTTTTTATGTATGTGAATGTTTCTGTAAAGTGCCCTGAGACAACTTTGTTGTGAATTGGCGATATATAAATAAACTGAATTGAATTGAATTGAGAGGCAGCAACACTACCAACTGTGCCACCATGCTGCCCCACATGTAATGATGGTGCTGGAGGTAAATCTGATTTGGTCAAACCTTCTAGTTAAGGTCATGCTCCATCTCACACAGCAGTTTAAGATCTTACAAAATGTTATTCCTGAAGGTGCATGTTAGAAATGACTGTTTGCAACTACTGCATCAAATTTAGGCTCAATATCTGTAAATCTGAGTCAAAACCATTTATGTGCTGTGTAAGGTCAGTTAGCTATGGTGGCCATCTTGAATTGGGTTAACATCAGATGTTGCTGAGTTGATTTACATCAGATGAATACTTTCAGCATTTTGTAAAATCCATTGATTGGTTTATGAGTTATTTGGCTAACAATACAGATAAATAAACATGGAAAGACAATAACTAACAGAAGAATGTAATCAATCTATGTCTGATAGAAGATGTAAATTAAGACAAATTACCCAGTTCAATATATGAATTTAAAGGATCATTCAAATAAAAACCGAGATAGCTTTATGTTATTCCCCAGTTTTGTGATTAAACTTGAGAGTTAAAATGTTGGGTTTAAAATCAAAGTAAATATTGAAAATTGTCAAAATACGGCAAAACATATCAAATAGTATCCAAAAAAGTTCAATCTGGTCCTCTGGACATTCAAAAAAAAAAAAAAAAAAAGCAAAAAAATATAGAAACGTTTTGTCTCTCATCCGAGAGACTTCCTCAGTCTGAGGTGCTGTATTCAGCTCAGTCTCTTAAATAGCACCTTCTCACCTTCTGTGGTACAGAATACGTATTCTGTACCACAGACTGCACCCAGGGGAGGCCACACCTAGTCTGTATGGTTTACCTAAAATCCACAAACAAGGTGTACCTTTAAGACCAATTGTTAGCATGATTAACTCTGTCACTTACAATGTTTCCAAATATCTGGCGTCTGTACTCATCCCTTTAGTTGGCAGCTCA